GAGAGAGAGAGAGAGAGAGAGAGAGAGAGAGAGAGAGAGAGAAGAGAATAATGTCCCAGCCAGATAAAGGCAGCCGTTCTGGTCTTAGGCTGAATGAGCCAAGGGCCCACACTGTCCTGCCAGTCCTGTTTCCTTCACCTGACCGGGGCAGCGCCAGCCAGTAACTCAGGAGGCGCCTGAAACTGCTGTTGATGTGCAGTCAGCAACCAGGAACCAGAACGAGCTCATCAATGATTAAGCCAAAGCTTACCATCACTGCGAGATTGCTTAAAACCTACAGAGCTTCGAGGGAACTTTGATCTTCATGTAGATTACACAGCTGCACAGTTGTGCCTGGTTTCTCTTTTGCTTCTGGTTTGTCTTTAATTAATCTTTTAATATTGCAGTCCCTCATCTGAATCAATTTGTCACATGGACCAAGATCAAACCATCCTTTTATAGAAATACATCAATATGTGGAAATATGGTACTCTTGTATAGAAAAATTTACAGAATTTTACAGCTTCTCTCATGTCCATGATAGACTTCTTAAAAATACAGGTGCAACTAGCAGGGAGGATGCAATAGAAAAAAATTATTGATAATAATAATAATAAAAACAGCAAACCCCTTTTAAAAAACATCCTTTGAACTAGGACAGATGCGACTAGCAGAAAGCATTTAGATAAACCATCTTTTTGAAGGTTTAGAACTGGGCCCGTATTGGCAGGTGAGATTTGCCATTCCACAGTTTTATGAAACTAAAAATTATTTAAATTCTGTGATTTCTAGTATCCTAAGCTATAAATAAATTATAGAATTAACTGCTACTGTACAGTTGTTATATAAAATGCATAAAAGCAACTGGCAAAGTTTTCCAGCACAGACAATGCAAAAATTACATGTCTGTATTTTCTTTCCAAAATAATCAAATTCACTGACCAGCAGCTTGTGGACCCATCATTACCAGGTTACTTGAGGGCCATGAGTTCACCAACAAGTTCCAGGAGAATGAAGACACAGTCAGAGCCTGACATTTCCTTAGACAATAAATATTTCACTGAGCCTGTATCCAACTGGTCAACCCAGGGTTACCAACACTGTGAACACGATCTCAATTGAGAAGTGAAAACCCAGACGGAAAGCAGTCCCTTTCAAGTGGAGAGGCTCACACTGTGTCAGACAGCACACCTGGACACGCCCCTTTCCAGGGCTTGTGTGCTCGGGTGTGAGCCGCACATTCAATGCGAAAAGAATGTCCTAATGCAAGGCTACTATAAGAAATACACTGACCTGGAAAGGCCAAGGAAGAATAACCAGCTAAGAAATAATAAAATTTCGTTAAATTTAATAGCAACTGCTGCAAAATTATCTTTTATATTTAAAGTTACTTTGGTAAATATCAGAAAAAACGTTATGGAATATAAATTGTATAAATAAATATATGTGCTTACTCCAAATGTCAGTTTAGGCATCTGAGCCACGCAGGTCTGTGACAGTATCACTCAGTTATTAAGAATGTGTGTGAGAGATTTGCTTTAAAACCATTACAGAACTTTGTATCCAACTGCAATCCTGTCATGATTGAGCAATTTATTCAATTTCTGCACTGTCAATTTATAATCTGTAGAATGGAGATAGTGCCTGTCTCAGGACATTATGATCATTAACTGATATAATGGCAAGAGGTCTGGAGCCCAGTGACTATTTAGTAAAGTTAATTGTCATTATTACTGTAGATACAGCTGCGCTTTACAACCTTTCGCTTTTGTGGTACAGTCCCACCACCTCGTGGCAAAATTGTTAAACAGCATGTGGAACTTGGAGGCTCTCACGAATAGAAAAACAATGTAAGATTGCGTCTGATGATTAAGGCTAACAAATAGATTGAATAAAACAGTAAAGGAATCATCATTGAGACAGAATCTCATGATAATTACTGATATATAAGATGGGTTTTTCTGAATATATTGGCAGCTCGGGTGTCCGGCAGTTTCCTGTGTTCTACGTCTATGAATACATGCTAAAGGTGTCTGGCTGAAACAATACTTTAGATACTTATTTCTAAAGTTCCAAAACAACTTTACCAGGGGAATAAAGACCATCGTATTATATGAGAAGGACTTAGAAATGTCTTAGCCAATGTTTTACAGCTTAACATTCAAGGTGCCAGAATATTTTTATTTCTGATTCATTTCTTGAAATTATTTAAGTAAATTCTGAGCTATGAGATCAGATATTTATTGAATCAATAGGTTAGAGATTTATCAATCCCCCCAAAAATGTCCAGATCGTAGAAACTTACAGTGCTAAATCTACCATAATACCTGTAGGTCTTCTCCATATCAGATACATTACTTAAAATCGTTATGCAAAGCTGTGCGTTCTCATAACTGAACTATTCAAAATATCATTTACAAAATGTCATTTCTAAAATTCTTAAGACTGAGAATGTAAAATGACCTTTGTAATTATCTATATAAATATACTATTCAAAAAAAGCTACATGTCTTTGAATTCAACTTGACAATTATAATGTTAATGACGAAGGGAAAATTCACAAGTTACATTTCTTTATACACAGATGCTTATCTGTGGAAAATACTTTCAGCTGCCTCTGAAAATGCAATTTATTAATATTATATATATATATTAAGATTACATCAGTATATAATTTAAGAAAAGTGTAAAACATCAAGTCTAAAACCATTTTTAAAAACTATATCCTGAATTGCACCTTGTAACATCCATATTTGTAGATAACAGAAATTCTTGATGTGTCTGAGAGAACAATGAGAGTTATGCTTCAGTTATAGCACAAAATGTTAGAGTTAAAAAGAAATAATCTTTAAATGTGTACATTTTAATTAATAATTATTAGCTCTGTGTTAAATTATTTACGTAACGTTATACACATCTATTGAATTTATGCACGCTCTGCTATAGGTAAAATAATTATCAAAAATGATTTTGGAAAATTTGTGTTTTCCAACTGCATATAATCTGAGAGAAAGCTGATAACAGGCAAACTCTGAGAGGCCTAAAGTTCAATGTTTGTTAAAATTTGGTTAGTGTTACAACTCACTACTTCTGCAGTTCACAGCAACTGTTTGGTTCTGAACTGTCTCTTTATTATAATCATCTTTCATATGTTTGTTCTACCTTACCACATTCTTGGTCTGAAAAACTTACCCTTTGGTCATTTTTATCAGATCAATTTACTTCAGCTGAAAAAACAGCCAACGCAGTTATCAAATAGATGACAACAGTGAGATGATATTTTGCACCTTAAATTCACATTTTGAAATGAAACATTGAATCATAAGTTGAGATAAAATCTACATGTTCATATGTTGTATCACTTATGTCAAGTAGCATTTGACTGTCAAGTTACATATGGACAGTGACATTTTAAATTCAAGTGTGCAGAGACTCATCTTACGGCTCATACAAAACTCAAGAGCAGCATTTCAATTTCTTTGTTTCATAGTTTTAAAATTGCTAAAATAGGCTGGAGGTTTAGCTCAGTGGCTCAGGGCCTGCCTGGCAAGCACGAGGTCGTGAGTTCGATTCCCGGTACCAGAAAAAAAAATAAACAAAATAAAACTGCTAAAATATCAGCAATAAAAGAGCCTGCCTGGCAAAGGCAAGGTCCTGAGTTCAATTCCTGGTACCAGAAAACAAACAAAAATAAAATAAAATTGCTAAAATAAGGTTGCTATCTGATATTAATATAATATAAATTATTGGGATAATAAAACATTAAGGGTGAAAAATATTCAATATTTCTAATCCAACTTTTATAATATGCATATATTCTTTCAAAAATTCACCTAAAAGTGCGGAAGTTACAGAAAATTTAAAATATATTTATCTCTAGATGATTGTAGGCTCACAAATTTAGCATTTTTTGACTTTACTATATTTTATATGAAAATGTTAAAGTGACATGCATTCATTTTTATAGTATATTAAAGCAATATTCTGAGCATAACTTAGACAGGTTTTAATCTAGTAGCATACTATTGCCCTCTAGCGGACAAAGTAGTGTAGGTAATTCAAGAGTTTAAATGCCCTACTTACAGAACGAGTAATCAATTCTCAAAGATTTAGAATTACACGGTCTCAGTATGTAGAGACAGTAGTCAAGGAGTACTTTACGGTACTCTTTAGTCATTATTTTGGCTGCGCCGATTACATTTTTCTGTCTTTACTTTTAGTTCTTTTATAAATCACTGAAAAGATTGTATTTCCCACACACAGGTTTTTTGTTTTTTCTTGTTTTTTTTTTTTTTTTTGGTTTTTCTCCGGTACCGGGAACCGAACTACTGACTTCGTGCTTGCCAGGCAAGCACTTTGCCGTTGAGCTAAATCCCCAGCCCCCACAACACGTTTTAAAGAGTATATGCCATGTGCAAAGACTAAACCTGGCTCGTTAACACATGCAAGGTATTACATAGTTATCACTTTTTGCTGGGAACACTGTGTACGCAGTCTTAGCATTTTTCAAGCATTAAAATATATTATTAGCTATAGTCATCGAGTTATACACAGAGCCCCTGAATCCATTCCTATTATCCAAATGAAACTTCGTATGACTTAACCACCATCTCCGCAACCACCCGTCAGCAAGTATAATTTTCAGTCTATCTTCCTGATAATTTCTATAAAGGAATGCAACATTTTAAAATTTAGGCCTTTATTAATATTACTACAATAATAAAATCTACATTAAGAGTATTGCCTCAGTATGCATATCCCTTCCCACAAAGGGACAGAATTCTCTGAATAAAGGAAGTCACTGAATATGTAGATTAAAAATGTATAACTGAAGGTGAAAAGATGTATCATTCTATTGAAAAGAGCATTGTTTATTTATTTATTTATTTATTTATTTTTTTTTTGGTTTTTCTCGGGTACCGGGAACCGAACTCACCACCTTGCGCTTGCCAGGCAGGCGCTTTGCCGCTGAGCTAAATCCCCAGCCCCCTGAAAAGAGCATTGTTTAGAGTTTTCAGTATTAGTAAATACAAATTACGGTAACTAAAAGAATACAACACATATATTCATCCTGCAATATAAACACTTAAAATTATGTTTGTTTTCATATATATAGATTTTCTCCTTTTTTTGTAGTGGGGATAGAATCCAGGGCCTTCAATGTACTATGCAAGCACTTTACCACTGAGCTGCATCTCCCTTTATTTTTTATTTGGGGATGAGGTATCACTAAGTAGCATAGGCTGTTCCCCAACCTGCAATTTGCTTGCTTCAGACTCACAAACTGTTGGGATTATGGGCACGTGACACCACACTCAGGTCTGTGATCACTGTGCGTGTGTGTGTGTGTGTGTGTGTGTGTGTGAGTGTGTGTATACAAATGTATTATTGTCTTTAAAGACATTTATGTGTGAAAAAAACAATTGTACATTATGGAGAGGGGTCCAAAAAATTGTTCATCAGCATCTACCTCTTAAACTGCTGAAATCAAAAGATTAGTTCTCCAATGCATTGTGATGTAGGTGCAGTCACTTCAGTGGGGATGCCTTACAGCAAAAATTCAGCTCCATGGCTGTCAATTGGTCAGAGCTAAGTAATAACTATTGAAGAGTCCAGAAAAATTATTCAATATTTTTTCTCTGATAATTGGATGATATTAAACTTTCATAGTTGATAAAAAGAAAAAAATAGCATTATGTTTAACTTGGTGAATTTATTAACTAGATCTTATTTATAACAAAAGAGCTTTCCCTGGTTTCTTATGAGCCCACTTTGTTGTTATACTTTTCTTAAAATCAGGACATATTAACAATAGAGAAGGTGATATAGCTCAGTGGCACAAGTGCTTGCCTGGCAAGCATGAGGTTGTGAGTTCAATTGCTGGTACCAAAAGAACGAAGTGAAAGGAAAAAGGCATTATTATAGGGTTGTTGGAGGTTTACATATTTGTTTTTATTTTTACCCAGAGGCTATTGACTGGGAGGCGAGAAAACCGGTGTTTACATTTTGTGCAATGAAGGCACAAGATGGACCATGCAAAGCAATGATAAAGAGATTTTTCTACAACATTTTCACCAGCCAGTGTGAAGAATTTATATACGGAGGGTGTTTGGGAAACCAGAATCAATTTCTAAGTATGCAGGAATGCAAAGAAACATGTATAAAAGGTAGGTTTCTGGTCTAACAGCCTTTGTGTGTATTGGGCCTAATCATGAATTTGATGCACTTAGAAAACAGTAATGAAATATGTTTTTAACATTCCCAAGGAATCTCTTTTTGCTCCACAATTTTAGCTATCATACTCATGTACTATTTTCCGTTGTTTCGTGTATGTTTTTATAAAATTATTGTCTTGTTTATTGTCCCCTGCTTTTCATGACAAAGAAGAAAGAAAAGTTCCCAAACCCACAAGAGAGCTTTGTGAAACAAGTGTAATTCAGCCTCCCTGGTAGCTGCGAATTGGCAAGAAAAGGTTGTCAGGATGACTCCTCCGACCTTTGTCCACGCAGCGACCTCGGAGCTGTCTTCTCTACAAGCAAAGAATCTGAGAATTCACTTTGAGACTCTCTAGCTACTAACTGGAAAATGCTAGTCAAAATTTTAAATGTCCTTATTTCACTTTGTTTTTTTGAATTGCGAGCTACTTGAGAGAGGAAAAATCTGAGTGACCTTTAATTCTGCAGTTTCTAACTGGATATTCCCTCACAGCGTGTTCTCAGGGCTGGTCAAATGGAAGCGCAGTGCATTAGAGATGACACCCTTAGTGTGTATCACTAGGTACTGTGGTTTCTTTTTTGTTGTTTTTGTTGTTACTGTTGTTTCTTTTTGTTTTTGCAAAGTAGGCAGCTGTCCTTTCTCACTCTTTCCAAAACTGTTTAGTTCTTCCAAACACTCTGGGCTTTGCAATGCTCTTGGCCGGTGGGAAAAGCCCCAGTGCAGTGAAAAGAGGGAATGTCGCTGCTCTGTGACTCTGAGATGCTTTGTTGCAAGAGCTGACAGAGTAGAACGGACAGGCATATATTTAACTTCAGAGCATTTCCTTCCGTTGCTCTCCATAGATACCCCAGGATCACCCACCAGGCAGCTCAGTGGCCATTGCTGGAGTCATCTGCGCTTGTGACTGACAGGTCATTGTCCATTCACCCCAGATTTCTATACTCTGCTTTCTTTCATACATGGTGGGCCAATTGCCCTTTTGAGTAGGGTTGAAAATCTCTCAGTCTTCAGTGCCTTGCCTAGAATCCTAGTTGGCTAATCCGTCGCAATCCTCACTTTTTTATTTAGCAGTCTACTTGCTTTCATCAATTAGTTATTTCTCTGAAATTTATAACTATTTTTTCTTCTTTAATAGTTCAACATTTCCTATTTCAACATTGTGCTAGATAAATTATTTTCCTTAAAGTATATGAAACACAGAAGCACTTAGTTTACTAGTGGCATCCCACTTATATCTTTTTTTTTTTTTTTTTTTTTTTTTTGGTTTTTCTCTGGTACCGGGAACCGAACTCATGACCTTGCGCACCACTTATATCTTTTATAATTTTTTTTTTGGTGGGGGGGTTTCTGGTACCGGGAATCGAACTCATGACCTTGTGCTTGCCAGGCAGGTGCTGTGCCACTGAGCTAAACTCCCAGCCCCCACTTATTTCTTTTAAACATCATTATTGTCTTTAAATAAATGTAAATTCCTGTCCCTCATCTTTATCTTCTTATTATCTCTTTAAAGTTTATTTCATATTATTGCAGGAGTGTCAGTGTTTTTTTTAATAAGGTAAGCTGGCTAGACTTTTTAAAAAATCACCTAAAGAGAAAATGCTTTCTTTAACCATGATGGAGTAAGTAGAACTGGACTGTCTTTCCTCACATAAATATTTAAAAAGAATCTAAGCCAAATATATCACTCAACTGTTTTTGACATTGATTAAAAGTTAGTGCAGGCCTGTAATGTTTGAAAGCAGAGAAATATGAAAGATGAGCCCTCTGGTCCCTGCATTCTGTAGGAAATCACTCTGGTCCACTGAAGGAAGGGGAATCCAAGAACAGCACTGTTACAGGTCGAGTAGAGGAAACGGAGGTTGGAGATTAGGAGGCAGAAGTAGCTGAAGTTTGCAGAACGATGTGCGAGAGAAAATGAACTTATGCAGAGGGGAAAAACCCTCTGAAATCTAGATGGCATCCTCCTTCAATTTTCATTGGATAAAAAATTCTTCATTTATTTTGTAAATTACATAAAATTTGATGATAATCATTAAATAACTTTAAGTGAAACAATTAACAGAAGAATGTAATGCTAAGGCTACATTAGCCCTAGAGTAGAGGCTGCTTGGGACTTCTCCTAACAGTGCTTAAACACAAAGGTTAAAGGATCCAGTGATCCACAAAAAACTACTTGCCAAAAGGAAGTTCGACATACTTCAAAGGAAGGCAATAACATCCTTCAAATAAAACTATGCACTCAAAACTATCTGTACTCTCTCCTTCTCCAAAATATGAAACGTTTAAGAAAATGCATATTGTGACTTATAACTAGGAGAAAAGCATCTTAATTCAAACAGGCAAAAATATTAAAGGTGATGAAATTAGCAAACAAGGATTTTAAAAGAACTATGACTACTGTTTGGAAGAACTTAAAGAAAACATGACTAACACATGGAGAAAATGTAATCTGTAAAAGAGAACTGAATGAAAATTCTAAATCTGAAACACACCATATATGAAATAAGAAATTTAGCATATATACTGAGTACACTAGAAACTGCAGAAAAAAATTAATAAACTTGAAGAAACACAACAAGGTGTTTAAAATAAAGCACCCAAACTCCTCCCCCCAAATGTAAAAGATTAAATACTGCCATTTATAGCAATGTGGATAAAAGTAGAGATAATTATGTGAAATAAATTAGGCACAGTAAGCCAAGGATAGTGTGATCTCGGTCGCACGTGGAATCTAAAACCACTGATGTCACGAAAGATGACAGAAGGATGGTGGGTACCAGAGGGCAGGAACAGTAGAGGGAAGTCTGATCTGTGGATATTCAGTTACAGTTAGGCACTGTAAGGTGATCACAGAGAGTAATGATAAATGTCTTAGTAGACTGATGGGTTTAGCCTCAGTTAAACATCATATAATGGATGTACGCATCTAAACATCACCTCCTACCCCATTAATACGTACAACATTATTTTTTGTATAAGTTAAAAAGTAAATTTACTGCTATAAGTGAGGTAGGTTTGTGGTTATACTAACTAAACAGCCTTTGGAGAACATATGAAATTTAATTTCTACTAAGATATTCTGTATATGAATAATTTTTAATGATAATGGGTATGTGCTCATAATTTGGTAAATTGAAGCTGATATTATATTATAAATTCTGGCGATTGATGCACATATTTTGTTTTTCTTGTAGAATTTTCACCACTGACGAAGTCAACATTGGAAAAAGGTGAATATTCATCTATGTGCATATTAGTAGAACTTATTTAAGGCACCCAGATATTCTAGAAAATTTTAGGCTTTTCTGTTACAGCTACAGGGTTGATCCTAAAGCCAGGATATTTGAAATGGTGTTTTGTTTCAGTGGGTATAATGAAAAATGACGAAGCATATTCGTTAGATTAGAAAGAGGATCTTCACAAGCTGTTTGCTTTCATACTACTGTGCTCAATATTGAGTGTTACATCTCTCAGTCTGAAGGTACACATGCTATTTTAACCGTTTCCAGATAGTGGTGGAGATGTTGCTAGTCTTATTTTTCGTGTCCGTTCTCTAATTCCTTGTTAATCTTAACATTGTGTGGCTTAGTAAATTTTATCCAGTATTTCCCTGAACAGATGTATGGTTTGAGTTACAGACAGTTCTGTATTCAAACATCACTGGAGATATTTAACAAATAATCCTCATTGTCAACATCATTTACTGGAGTGGTATATCTTTGATTTTTTAATTTAAATTATTGCATTCATTATTTGTAACAAGAAATAATTACATTTTAGTGAATATATTTTATCAGCCCAAACGTTAACAATATACCAAGTAAACCAATCACCTGTTAATAAAGGTCTTGATCCAATTTCCACCTCTGGAATTGACATTTAAATGAGAAAATATTAACTAAAACATCAAGTTATTTAACTCAAGACATGAGAGTTTATAGAATTCATAATGATTTTACTTACTTTGATGTAATCTTTGGGAAAGAGTTAAAAATTTTCATCATTCAGTTTAATTTTGAGGCTTCATTTAGTGACCAGAATTTGAATCAAAATGTAAAAAACAAATCCAACAACGAAGTCTTTACAAACAAACATACATAACTATTTACTATTTTTAAGACTAGCTTCTTGTAAATATTGCCTTAATCTTGACAAAAAAAATGTTCATTACATGAATTAAATGAATTATTAATTATATTACCAAAGAATATATTTTATAAAGGGGGTTCTGTTCACCAAATGAAAGAAGATATTTTCAGGAAAGGAAATATCAATATAGGTATTAAGGTGTGGATATTAGGTATTAAGGTATAGACATTAAAGTCTTTTTCCAAAAGCAGAATTACAAAGGATATGTAGATTAAAATTTTGCAGCAAATCATCTCTAAAATATTTATCTAAGCTGGGTGTGGTAGCACATGGCTGAAATCCCAGCCACCCCGAGACTGAGAGGGAAACAAGAGTCAAGGCCCAGAAGATCAGGGGTCTCAAGTCTGAAACCAGCCTAGGCAATTCAGTGGGACCTGGTCTCAAAATGAAGACTAAGAAAGAGGCTGGGGATGTAGCATTGAGCAAAGTGTTCAATACCAAATACAGAAGATAGGTAGATAGACAGACAGGCAGGCAGGCAGGCAGGCAAGCAGGGAAGAAATACATGTGGGTGATAGAGACAGAGTGATAGAGATGATACGGGGAGAGAGAGAGAGAGAGAGAGAGAGAGAGAGAGAGAGAGAGAGTGTCCAGGAAAATGGAGATGAAGATGGAGATGGAGACAGAGAAACAGAGAGAGCAAGGAGAGAGGTATAATAATTCAAAGCCCACTCATTCTTAATTGAAAGTTAGAAAATAAGGTTCTACACACGTGTTAAAACTGCATATGCTAAAACAAATCCATACTAAAGCCTTCTGTCAGCTTGAAGCTAACTTTAGTGATATGACATAATGGTTATAAGAACAGTGGACATTTATTACAATCCTTTGGAGAAAAGCTTACTCTCAGACAATTTCCAAGCATTCAGGCCCACCTGAAAATTAACATTAAAAACTCTAGGGACCGTGAGCGTTGGTATATGGCTTACAGTCTACATTTGGTATTATTCAACTTTAAGCAGCAACTTAGATAAACAGTGTGTGTGCCACTTCAGAAGTATGGTACTTTATCTAAAGATATAGAAAATTAACTTCTTGCTTTATAACAGTATTTTCAGTTGTGATCCTAGGATGAATTATTTGACATGTTCATTTTCAACATTTTCCTAAAATCAATTTATGCCCCATACTAGGGCCTTATTTAAACAAATAACTACTAATTTATTAATTATACAAATCAGCATAAATTTTATCATTTTTGTTCTTGACATGAAATTTTTTACTCACTTTCATTACACATAGACTTTCTCTGTTAAATTATTTAAATTTTAATTAAAAACACATGATAACTAAAACAAACAGAAATGATAATAATTCAATGTATTTTCTTTCTTTTAGGAAAGGCTTTATGAACTGAAAGCATTTTTATCATTTCCCTATTTGTTATACTTAACTATAAGTAAGAGTAACATTCATATTGAAAAATAGATATATGAAGAATGCCCAATAGCACTAATTATTAAGAAAGTACAAAACAAACCAAAAATGAGATAGTATTTCACTCCTGTGAGAATGGCTATAACCCAAAGACAAAAGAGAACATTGTTGGTGGGAATCTAGTTTCTTCTCTCTTCTTATGGAAAACAGTAAAGAAGTTTTTCAAAAATTTAAAATTAAAACTAGAACTACTATGTGATCCAGAAATCTGATATATACTGGGTATCTGTCAAAGGGAAATGAAATTAATGCACTGAGAAGGTATCTGCACTCCCATGTTTATGGCAGTTTTATATGAAATAACCACGATATGGAATAAGACTTAGGTATTCACAAACAGATATATGAAAAAGAAAACATCGTGTATATTCATGATGGAAAAATATAGAAATTGAAGCTTTGCCCAAAATATTCAAGTCCAATAATTATTATGTTTACAACACATGTGACAGTTAGCTCACTTCTCTTTAAAGAGTATGTGTGTACACACAGCTTAAATGTAGAGCACAGGGTCACTACTTTGATGACAGCTGTGCTTAGCCTGGTTTGGAATACTATCAAAGAAGGGCTATTGGACTTTTGCAAAAGCCTCTTCAATCCCTGATCATGTATTTCCTTTCTGCCTCTGTGCTGATGGAAATATTCCAATACTTGGGAGAAAATAACTAAGGGAGGATATCATACCTCATACAGATATTAATTCTAGCATATGAAAGAATTCAGGAACTTCTAAGAATAGCCATGAAAGCTTCCGTACTTCTCAAATCTTTTCCAAATTTTAAAGTTTAAACTATTTTTAATGAAGACCATAGAGCACTGTTTTCTCTAATAATTCTCACATTTCAATAACAAAGTATTCATGAACTGTATCTTAATATTGATGAGCATAAGCTTAGTGTTAATTATTAAACCAAAATTTGCCATATTATTCATACTTCCAAAGTCTGGGTAGCACACAACAAAATAGCTTCATATCTTTTATTTACCAGTTCATGAAAAAGACCCTAATTCTGTATTTATTAATTCCCTATATATTTACTTCCCTATTTATTCCCTATTTATTTATTGCCCCATTTATTAATTCTCTATTTATTTACCATATGTAGAACTTAAAATGCCAACTATAAAAATTTATGTGACACTAAACGTTTCATTTTCTAAATACCAGGGTAGATATGGTAGATAATTGTAATTTTATATATTTTCCAGTAAAATCATGTTCTTACTTCTGAATTTGTCATATTTACTCCTTAAATAATGACTTAAATATCTATTTAAATAACTAAATTATTTACCAAAAAAGAGAAATGTTGATGACACTCCTAATTTCTAGGAAAGCTAGATTTATGCTTTTTGGAAGACGACGTTGGAATGTGTCGAGCTTATATTACCAGGTATTTCTATAACAACCAGTCAAGACAGTGTGAACCTTTCGTATATGGCGGATGCCTAGGCAACCTCAACAATTTTGAGTCATTGGAAGAATGCAAGAACACCTGTGATAGCTCAGGTACGTTCATTTTCCGTGTTATTAGCATCCTTTTACAAATACAGCATCTCAAAGGACGTTCAGATTTACTAAGCATTGTTTTAGCCATATAATTACTTTCATATATTTCACTGGCCTTCCTCAGAATATGGTTGGATTCCTGCAATCCCTATTGTTATAAAAATTTGAGGACAAATAGTACGTAGAAGCAATCACTTGAAATCAATCTGTCTTATCTGCTTATATGACTTAAAGGAGCAATTTAAATATTAACAGCTAGACATGGTTGAGCATGAACTCCATATTTCCTCCCGGAACTATTGTTTTATTATATACATATATATTTTATGTTCACCACTTGCAAATTCAATGTAGCAATGTGACTGAAATTTCCAGGACTCTTCCTCAAACAATTGTTGTGCTTTGCTTCGTCTATACAAATACAAAATTGTGACAATGCATTCATGTTTTAATTCATCACGTTCTTCTTCAGAGAATGAGCTCCTGGTGGATCGTTATATAGTCACTCCCACCCCACCTGTAACTGTAAATACTAAGTCTTTGACTTCGCACTCTACGAGAGACCCCAGGATTTGGGGTAAGAATTTCATATTTTTTATTCATTTCTGAAAAAATATTATCTTGGTAGCAAACAAAGTGTACTTTCTCTTAGAAGTGTCCTTTTCAAAACAGATATTTTTTTATTTAGTAATATGTGTGTTGACACATGAGACTCAACACATTGAAGACATATAATCCCACAGAAGAGATACTTTCTCTAATCCTCTTCAAGTGTGCTTTGAAGTGGAATTTTGATTATGAATCACATGAAAAACTTTCATATGATATTTAACCCAATGCTAAATTTATCTTATAAAATAATACTAGGAATTACCAGCCTTAGTGTATGAGGGTAAATCATTTTTCTGGAAGCTACATGCTAACGCAGTGTAAAGTGTTTTTAAATTGAGCAGGGAGCAGGGTAAGGTCTCTGGTGTTAAAGGGCAGATTCAAAAGTGCCTGAGTATCTCTCCCAAAGGACATGCCACCGCAGAGGGAATTTTCTTTTGGACTGCTGCAGAATTCATTTCTAGATGCTGCCCTGTCAGCACATTTATCAGATTTAGGCCAGCTTAGGGAAATACTCCCTGAAAAATGCAAAGCTGGGGAAATAGTGCAAGTACTGGAAAACATAACCAGAAAATGTAAACATCTGGACCATTAGAAAGGTTTTAAAGAGCTGAAAATTAAACAATATAAATAGAAAGTTTTACCTTGATCATAGAATAACATGTGTTCATTCAGAAATTGGAGCTTTCACTTGGAATCAGTCCGTATCATCATGTCAGATATAACTTGGCAGGATTCCTGTAGCTACTAAAATCGAAAACATAGTATTAAGAAATGCCAGTGGTTGGCCCAGGAGTTGTTCACCTTGGCCACATATCAACATCAAATGGGATGCAGAACCAGAATAAGACAAACTGGCAGCAGGCAATAGAAAACAAAGAAAAATTCTGTCCAGATGGATTTAAATGACTGTGAAAGCTTACTGGAGTGCACCTAGCACCGGGGCTGTGCGATCCAGCTTTGTCTTACAGGGACTGAATCATTCACAGAACTTGTTTCAGCCCCTAGTGCGACACGCTAGAATCACAGAGAATTTGCAACATGCTTGTAGAAATTGTAAGGAGACCTGAGATCCACGAGGGAGGAGAACTAAGTCATGTTTGTACCCACGTCACGCTTAGGTCCTGCCCACGCCACCTCATCCCGTCTCCTCCCCACAACCCCATCTATGTATCCCCTGGACCCAGCTTAAGCATCAGGATGAAGTGTGAGGTCTAGAGTATAAATATCTTTCTGGAAAATGTTTTTGATTTAAAACCTTCAAAAATGAATGGTCAGGCCAGGGATATAGCTCAGTGGCAAAGCACCTGCCTGGCAAGTGCAAGGTCCTGAGTTTGATTTCCAGTACACCCCCCCCCCAAAAAATGAATGGCCAACCCATCTCAAGAATTAGTAAATAAACTGCAGGTATTCAAGCAGGGCCTTAATAACGTATCATCAAAGGAATGCAAATTTGCATTGGGGGTTGAACAATATGATTTCTTCAAAATTCCTTCAAGTCTTTAGGTTCCATAATTAGAGCACACAATTCAACTACAGATGAATTTGTCTTATTTCTAAATATTGCTTTGTTTGTAATAAGTGTTTCTGCTTCTGATTTTACAAGTAAAATGCTTTCATTGCATTGCGCTTTTATTGCTTTCCAATATTATAACTCAGCTCTATAACTTTTGTTTTTTCAACTTAAATACCACATGTTCAAAGCATGTTATATATTCTTGCTATAAAACGATGTGAAAGGTTACCACAGAGGGTTTACTGACGCATCTGCAAGTAAATGCATAAAATCAGGTTTCAATATTTTTGTTTGAATTAAGTACCAATTCAAGTAGAGATTTTCAGTCCTTTATTTTTAAAATGAGTAGAGTACATAAGTCCAAGGATAATTTTACCTTGAAGTTTTACCAAGTATAACATTTATTATTGTTCTGCAGGCATATCAAGTAGGAAAGGGAAAATGAGGAAAATAAGTGTGACACAGTAACATTAATATGTTTTAAATATTCCTTGGTAAATGTTCCTTGTATGTTTTCATCAAAGATACCTATGGAGAAGTGTAATAAATAAATAATTATAAAAACAAAATACTAATAAAGTAGTTAAAAGCGGTAATATGAATTTAAAAGAAAGCATTAATAAGCATTTTATGTAAAAGAATATGCATTTGAAAGATAGTTGTTTTCACAGTAAATGCATTTAAAATTAGAGCAAACACTTATTTCTTTTGTTCAGAAAGCATTTTCCTTTTGATTGCATGGATTTGCCTTAAAACCTACACTCCTATGGCAAGTTGATCTATTTCTCTTTTTCTAGGAGCATGTATTCTCTCTTTTTTCTTTTGTAAGCTTTCTAAACTAAGATATGAAATAGTATTGCAAAAACAACAGTGAGGAGTTTGATCCTAAGGGTGACTTACCTTGTGAAGGTGGGCGTTGAATCTGCTTGATTTGTCCTTAAGGCTACCCATCCATCCAGCTGCCTTGTCCGGGATACAGAAGTTGGAGGCAGGTGTCCCACTACCCTGTCTAAGTCCTTGCCCTGCTTTGTCCAAAGGGACTGATAAAGTCTAGAAGAAAAAGCACTTGATGTTTCAGTTCAAAAGATTATATCTATCACTGCATGCAATGATATTAATACATTATATGATAGTTTAAGAAATTTGGTTCATGGTTTATGTAAAACCCAGTTTTTGAAGGGTTTTGGTAAATGAGCAAGGCTCTCAGTGGCTATCAGTTGCTATTGAAAACACGTAAATCTTTCAAGGTTTCAATTCAGTATGTAGGAGTCATAACATAAGGGAAGTCACATTCCTTTAAAATGCTTGCCATTAAATAATAATCCTTAGGTAGAGTATTTGAGTATTCTAAAATTTAATTATTGCTTATTATGTAAAAGACATAATGTAACGTTCTCTGCATGAGGCTATTAGAAAAGTAATTTAGAAATTTTGCTTAATGTTTAACTGCCGCTAAAAAAGAAATCTTGATAAATTCTTTTTAAATTTTTATTTATTTTTAAGTGCTCACTATTATAAATAGATTTATGAATATATTTTCCTGGTGCTTTTTCTAGACTCAAGATTCTTGAATACTTATTAAGCCCAGTGGACATTTACTTTCTCCTTTTATTTCTATGTTTCAATTTTAAAAGTCTATTTGTGTAATTTCAAAGACTGAACTTTACGCTTCCCTATATAAATCATGAGAAAAATCATTCTAAGCATATCCCTAGATGAGATCATAATTTGAGTTTGATCGGCTGAATTAAGAGGATCTCAGGTTACTTACAGTTCATGTGTCCCCACTGCATGTGTGAGAGAAATAATTCTGAAGCAGTTCCTCCAGAGGCTCAGTTGTATGCATAATCTTCAGAATAAAAAGTCTTCACAAGTCTTCCCCTTGCCCTCTCCCCTATGATTAGCAATATGTATAATAAATAAATAAGAGACCATTTAGCACAAAGACATGGGTTGAAATCCCAGATGTTGCATTGAAGATATTTCCACATCTCTGCAAAATAGGCATGGTGATAGGACAGTCCTAGTTGGATAGGTTTCTCTGTGATGTGCTCAGGGGATGTGCCCAGCTCTCAGGGACAGAGAGCTGAGACCTGGTGAGTGTTGCCTGGTGTTGCTGTTATTCTCCATAATTCCCAGCAATACAATTCACTGCCCAGGCCATAGTTTCTCATCTGTAAAACAGCTCTGTAAGCTCTCACTTGCAGAAGAAATAGGTATTTCAGCATTCAAACAAGTGTCTAGATATCCAGATAAGGGAAGCAAAAGCTGGAGGCAGCAGTGAAGGGTGGAGGGCACCGAGACAAAAAAAGAATTAAAGGAGCCAGGGAGATAGCTCAGCGGCACAGTGTCTGCCTGGCAAACGGAAGGTCCTGAGTTCAATTCTCGGCACCAAAAACAAAAACAAAAACAAAAACAAAAAAAGAATTAAGATACATTATATAAGACACATGCACAAACACCCCACAATAAATGTAATCATTGTGTACTGCAAACACATACTGATAAAAAACAATAGCAAAAAGAAAAAATAGTATCTATTTATGAACAAGAGTAAATAAATATACTATGTCAAAATCACAACTAAACTTAAAACAAATTCACACTAGATCCAAAATAATCCATATATACAAACTCACATGGTTTACCTGTATTTCTTTTTTTTTTTTTTTTTTTTTTTTAAGGATAAAAGGAGGGAAACATTAACAGACGTACAACATTTTACAACATATCACAAGCACAATACAGACAATACAGAGTTACAAACAAAGCGGTAGGGAATTAACAATGGTGGTTGTATT